CCCAGTATACCAGGTGGCACCCTGGATTGAAGGGAACAACCCGTCAGAGTTAGATTTTGGTTTTATTTTGTTTTCTGGTGTGGCTTTGGTCGTTGCTCTGGATTAGACCCCTTCAAACAGCTGATCTGCCAATGTAGGATGATGACAACTTCAGTTGTGGTCATTTAAGTATTATTTGATCCACCTACTGTGGGTAGCATATGTAAGTTATTTTTGTTTTATTTTAGTTTTTGTAACAAAATGCCTATCCACATGGTGATAAGTACTATAAAGTTAATTAAATCTAAGTACCTCTCCATCCTCTATGAAAAAGCTATTTTGTGACTTGACTTAGCAATATTTCTCAATGAAACTCAAAAGATATCCCTAAGCTTTATATAGCAACAGTCTTCCTTTTCTCCAATGGGAAGAATGTTAATGTCATAAATGTTTCAACTCCAATACCAAAAGGTCCACTGAAACTTCATGTAGCCTTGCAAAAATGAATTGTGTAATCATACAATGGGATCTAACATTTAAAGAGCTGATGTGACTCACTGGAGTTCCTGAATTTAACTGTCTGACAGAACGGATTGGGTATTCTTCCTCAACTCGACACCTGAGATATGTAATAGGGCACAGTGTAGAAGTTTAATAAATTCATGGGTCTGATTCTTGTTTGGACTAAGACGCCTTTGCACTTCCCTAGCAGTGCAAAGAGTCCAAAATGTGGGTTAAACTGTTCAGTTTCCTTACCCTCATTTTCAAGCCCCTTTGCACTGCTACTGGTGTAAAGGGACAGTGGTGCAAATAAATATCAGGCCCATATAAAATAAATTTAAAGTGTTTGATGTTGGTATACTTAGAGACTAAGGGCCTGCTGCTGCAAAGTGCTAACCACTATGTGAGGTGCTCTCAACAGCCAATTATCTTGTTTGGGAACTGAGGGTGCTTAGTACATAGGATGATCCCACACTAAAGCCCAAATGCACATACCTCTGAAGGAAGGATTATAGTGTTCTACCACTGCTGAATGATTGGAGGATTTAACTACAGCTTGTGAGAGTAATCTTGTTTGATTTTACTAGCCATCCTACTTGCTAAGGTCATGCTGCCCACCTCCTGTGAGTCAGCTGGAGGAGATAAAGTTTTAATTGTGAGGGGGGAAGTCTTAAAAAAATAAAAAAGGAAAAGAAAAAGAGGAGCCTTCTATCATATCAAATATCCCTGACTAATTGTAGAACCTACCTTGCTTTACATTTCAGCTTCTTCATACCGTTTGATGCTTTTGCAATCAGATTGTAAAACAGGAGATCAGTATAAATAAAATCAATACAAACAAACTAAAATCTAGTACTGTATGCCAAAGCATTTCCATAGAAACCCACTACAGTCTAAACAGAGATAATGGGGAAACCATAGGAACTGTAGAAAAATGTTTGCATTCTGCAGTTATACTCCCTCTTTTTTCCCCAGTACATTCACCCCTGGCTTACAGAAGATGCACACAACTACAAGAGAAAGTAATTGTAAATGGTTGATTTCAAACTGTCAAAAGCCAGACTACATGAACTTCACATGGAAATTACAATCAGAATTTACGATGCTGTGATTGGGTATTACAGTACACATGGTAAGCCCACCTGCTGTTCTGGAGTAACCTGACAGAGGACTAGGTTAGTAGTAACTCATAGGCATAACAGGATGATTTAAAGGCATTATGGAAATTGTCTAACCTTTTCCAACCAGGTATAATCATCTGGTGTTTAGAATACTGGTAGCAGCCAGCAGACCATTCACTCTATGGTTCCCAGTGTTCTAAGACCACTTGAGCTAAGCTAGTCTTTGGACTTTTCTACACACTGTAGCAATGCACACTACAGGAGTGTAATTTCTAAAGTGCACTAATGTGTTGCATCTTGGGGTACGTCTACCTGAGGTGTTGCATCTTGGGGTATGTCTACCGATCGATCCCCAGTCGCTCTGCCGTCGACTCCTGTACTCCACCACGGCAAGAAGCGGAAGCAGAGTCGATGGGGGGAGTGGCAGAAGTCGACCCCATGCCGTGAGGATGCGAGGTAAGTCGACCTAAGATACGTTGACTTCAGCTACGCTATTCTTGTAGCTGAAGTTGTGTATCTTAGGTTGATCCCGCCCCCCAGTGTAGACCAGGCCTTGGTCTGTGCACACTAAAATGCTCCCTAGTACACTCAGTTCCAGTGCCCGACTCCACCTTTCCCTGGAGTAGCTGTTACAGTGGAAAGCCAGTTTTACCCCTTTAGCCCTGTGCTGCAAGAAGCATGCCCAGCTGCTCAGTGGGGATGGTGCATGTGCAGTCTGGTCAGCACTAGGAGATGTGAGAGGCTTATGCATGCTCAGTGAGGATGGGTTCTTCAGAGATTTTAGTAGTGAAGGTCTAGCAAGTCTCTGCATACTGCAATTTTTCAAACGCTTATAACTTTGCCACATTTTCACAGGGGAACAAATAGCACACCCCCAATGCAATGGATATTCCCTGGTCAACTTTTAAGCATGGGGGGCCAGAGCTGTTCAAAGAACAGGTCACCAGAATTTTTTTTTAATATGAGCAAAACACCATATTCTTCATTTACCTGGATATTGGAAATGACCTGTAGCTCTAACAGTATGTTTACAAGTAACAGCAGTGAATAAGCTGCAATTGAAGAGATAGTAGGCAGGTGTGTGCACAGAGAAAGAGGGTGCTTGGTGGTGTTGCTATCCGACCCAACCAAAAGCAGAACAGAAAACCTGGCTATACACAATCTTCTCAATGACGCTTAACCCCCCCTCCCCAAAAAGTTAGCACATGCTATTTAAAAGGTGATCAGAATTTTAAAAAAAAATAGCGCATTTAAAAAAAAAGTTGATAGCATCCCTTTCACTTTTGTCAGAGTTGCAGTATGTTCTAATCAATAAACAACACACTATTAATGAAGCATTAATTTCAGTTAAGAATATTTATTTTACTTACCTCAAAAAGATAATCCCCTATATATTGCACAGGATAATATGGAGCCTCAAAGAGATGTTTCTCTCTCTCTTTGGTGACACTTTTATTATCAGTGAATACATGAGTAACAGCTCTCACTTCCTTTTGTGGTGGATATATAATTGCCTTTCCAGCTTCTAGAACTCTCTCTCTCTCTCTCTCTCTATATACTAAGTTTAAATATATTATTTAACTTAAAATATATATTTATATATATCT